AGTCCAGTTGTCTTTTGGAAAACCACCTTTGGTTTCACCTTGACAAGGTGGTATTGTTTGTCTCCTCCGGATGATGCAACCATGGAGGGTTCCCCCTATTGAGGTGTTCTGTTTAGCTCTTGTGGCCTCTGACCCTTCTAGCATCCAGGAGAGGCTTCTGGAGATGTTTCAACTGGGATTTCTGGTGGAGGCCATCAGGATGGTGTGAAGCACCACAGCAGCTTTGCAGGCCTGCTTCATTTAAAGCCTCCTCCCCCACCAGTTATTCTGAAAGGGCTGGCTTGCAGATCGGTGTGAGTTTTGGTCAGTGGTGGGCTGCAATTTTTTTTAACAACCGGTTCTCTGGCTGGGTAGGCATGGCTGGTTGGTCATGTGACTGGGTGAGTGATGTCACTCATCACACCCAGCCCCGCCTCCTGGCCACTCGCCTCAAAAGAAGAGGTAAGTAGGATTCAGCGGTTGGGGCTAATCCCACCACTGGCTGACCCCGCCCGTTTTTCAGCCTGTTTTTTGACCATTTTCAGGCTGTTTTTGGGCTGTTTTGGAGGCCATTTTTGGTCCAGAAAATGGCCTAAAATGGACCAAAAAAACCACCTGAAAACACCCCGAAAAACAGAATGTTTTCAGGATGTTTTGGGGCCATTTTTGAGGCCATTTTTGGCCCAGAAAGTAGCCTAAAATGGCCCAAAAATCCACCTGAAAACACCCCCCAAAAACAGGATGTTTTCAGGACATTTTGGGGCCATTTTTGAGGCCATTTTTGGTCCAGAAAATGGCCTGAAAAACGACCTGAAAAAGGCCTGAAAATGCCCCCCCAAATGGGCTGAAAACAGCCCCCTAAAATGACCCAAAACAGCCTTAAAAAAATGGGCAAGAGCAGCCAGTGGTGGGATTTGCCGGTTCGCCAAATTGCACCTAATCTCGACCACCGGTTTGCGAGAACCGGTGCAAACCGGCTGCAGCCCCCCCCCCTCTGGTTTGGGTTCACCAAAGACAAGCAGCCCGTGGGGTTGTGTGTCCTTGGAAATTCAGGGAGGTTTCTTGTCCCTGGATCTCATCTCCACTCCCATCAGGTCGATTTCATTGCACAACACAACCCTGGTGGAGTTTTCTCTCTCTCTCTCTCTCTCTCTCTCTGACACAGGCATCCATCCTAGGAGAAGGAGTTTTCCTAGACATGAACGCACGGGATGGTGTTGCTAGTTAGTAGACCAGATACTGATGTTGTGGGCGCAGCGCTGTGGGTATAATTAAAAGGTTGATGCCCATCAAACCCCTGTCTGTGGCTTTCCAAAAGTTTGTGTGAATCAGCGAATGCTGCGTTGTGAAGAGGGCATCAAAGAATTCTTTCTCTCTCTCTTTTTTTTTTTTGGCATCATGCGGTGAGCCAGGCTTGTATAACTAGCTTTTCCTGTCCTGGGGTTTGCTTAGGGATTTAAAAATGATGAACAAAACAGATTTAAAAGAGACACCGGGGATTAGTTGGGTAGTTGGGGGAAAAAAAAGTTATGGGGAAGCCGGGTGGTTGGGTTGAAGGAAGATTTCAACTGAAAGGACACAGGAAGCAGCGAGCCTAACAGCTTGGTTTTTAGGGTGGACCTTCAAGGTGGATTCTTGGGCATCTTGTTTAGACACCCTTGGGAGAACCGTATCTTCACACTTTCAAAGAAAGGTGAACCTTGTGACCAGAACAGCTAGTTGCTTGGTAGCATCTAAGTTTTCCAAAACACCTGAAGGCCAGATAAGGAAGGAAGGATGGAAACTGACCAAGGAGAGATTCAACCTGGAAATAAGGAGGAATTTTCTGACAGGGAGAACAACCCACCGATGGAACATTGGAGTTGCCTTCAGAGGTTTTGAGAGTTTCATCCCTGGAGGCTTTCAAGAAGAGACTGGACTGCCCTCTGTCCAAAATGGCATAGGGTCTCCTGATTGGGTGGGGGGTTGGACTACATGACCTACAAGGTCCCTTCCAACTCTTGTCAATCTGTATATCTCCAAACTGCTAGCTCCAGCAAGAGGCTCTGTTCATTAAACTTGGTTTCAGGGTTCTGGAGATAGGAAAAAAAAAATGTTTCTCAACCGTTGCACGAGAGTTTTTCTAACTTGATGGACATTCTGTGTGTCATTCCTGGACATTGTTTGTATCCGTTTTTTGCTGATGAGGTACAACTTTGGAAAAACAATGAGGCTTTGAGCTGATGGCGTGGCTCTTTTTGAGTAAGCGTTGGTGGTGGTGGGATCAACGGATCAACCTGTCTTTCTTCTGCCATGGGCCAGGCCTCCAAAGCTCTTGAATAATGCTGGATCAGACCATTCCTGGCAATTGGTGGGAAAGACGCATCTAACGTGTGTCCGCTTGATCAGATAATCTTCTCGCAAGACAGAAAGGGAAAAGGCTGCCTGCACATCCTCTAAACCAGAGGTCGCCAATCTTTTGGACCTCCAAACTCATAATTTTAAATCCCGCGGACCAGAGACCCTGGAAAAATCCCCCAAAAAAGTCTGCAGGAAAATTCCCCATCCCGTTTTCCTACCGATCGATCGTTCTTTATTTGGGATTGCAGGATACCATCTCCAGCTCTGTTCTCAGGGAGGGGGGGGGAGAGAGAGAGAAACTTTTGGCTTCATGCAAGGAAAGCAGCAGCAGCCGCAGAAGTCTTTCTTTCTCTCCCCCAAACTCTGCCAGAAATGAGTCTTTGCTGGCTCAGCCTCTTGGAGCAGGAGGCCTTGCAGGGTCCCAAGGACTCATTTCTGGTGGCGTTTGGGGGAGAGAAAGAAAGACTTTGGCTGCTTTCCTTGCATGCAGCCAAAAGCAGAAGACGAAAGAAGTGGAAAGAAGCAGCCCAGTGGCCGGGCCAGGCGCGTGGGGCAAGTGGGGCAAATTTCCCCCCCTCCGCCCTTTTCCCCCTTCCCCTCACTACCTCGTGTTGTTTGCAATGCAAGTGATGGAAGCTTTGTTTTCTCTGCGGACCGCCAAAATTTTCTCGTGTACCACCAGTGGTCCCCGGCCCACTAGTTGACGACCACTGCTCTAATCTCCTTCAAATGTTTCCTTTGTGCAAGCTTTGGAGGCTACCAGTGGTCGTGAATCAGATGGGATGTTTTCTTGTAGAGGAACATTTTGCAAAACTGTTCGGTCCAACGCCTGGGTTGGGTGGTCTCCTGCAAACCCGAGGGGGAAATCTGTCCCAGAGACTGGAAACCATGTGGTGTTGAAACTCAAAGCTCCTGTCGTAGGCAGAACTGCAGTTCGGTTGAAGCATTGACCTGAAACTCTGGAGAAAATGTTGGCATATGGACCAACCTTGGTCTAGTTCTTGGGATTCCAATCCAGACATGTGATCCTAGATAATCCTTCCTGCTATTTCATCTTATCAATCTTCAGCTTCCCAAGCAACCTTGTGTTGGAGATCTAACTTGGAGATACCAACAGGGCCAAGATCAGCCAAGGGACTCTGCCGGAGCAGGCGCTCGGCTCAAAACAAGTATGTCTGCAGACATGAAAGATGAGATTGATGTCTGTGGACCTTCTCAGTCATCCAGGTCATGGCTGTCCCAAAGGTGCTTTTTTCAAGAGGCAACTGGACTTTCTGGTTTTTCTTTGAAGACATTTTGCTTCCCATCCAAGAAGTTTCTTCAGCTCTGACTGGATGATGCTGGGGAATGGAAGGATTTATACTCCTTGTAAACAGCCGATCATTTGCATTCTTTTAGCAAGTTGTTGAGGCCACCTCCAATCTACAACACGGTCCTTTCAACAGTTCCAAGAAGGCTCCATACCCATTTGCACCACTTAGGTGACCCTGAGGACACAGATAAACCTCCAAATGGCCTCAACGACCCTCTAAAAGGATGCAAATGACCAGCTGTCTGCAAGGAGGATAAATCCTTCCATTCCCCACCACCATCCAGTCAGAGCTGAAGAAGCTTCTTGAATGAGAAGCGAAATGTCTCCAAGGAAAAAACCAGAAAGTCCAGTTGCCTCTTGGTAAAGCACCTTTGAGATGAAGATGGCATTAATTTTAGGCCGAGATGCTGTACCTCAACAGGTGTGGTCTAATTGTGGTTTTTGGGTTGGGCTGGATTGGAGTTCAAAGACCTGCTTGGCCTTAGACTAGCTAAGCCTGCTCCACCTTGGAGTATGTTGCAAGAATAAAAATAAGAGTTAATGGTCATACAGATCTTAATGCTTTAAGCCATCTCTTCAATTTGATTCAGACCTCCAATTTGGAGATTCAGTTGAATTGGCTTTTAACAGATTAGCAGAGTTGGAAGGGAGCTTGTAGGTCATCTAGTCTAACCCTCCACCCAAGCAGTGACCCTACACCATTTCTGACAAATGGCAGTCCAGTCTCTTCTTGAAAGCCTCCAGTGATGAAGCTCCCACAACTTCTGCCCCATTGATTGATTGTTCTCACAGTGAGAAAATTCCTCCTTATTTCCAGGTTGAATCTCTCCTTGTTCAGTTTCCATCCATTATTCCTTGTCTGGCCTTTGGGTGCCTTGGAAAATAGCTTGATCCCCTCCTCCTCTCTGTGGCAGCCCCTCAAATATTGGAACATGGCTCTCCTGTCTCCCCTGGTCCTTCTCTTCCCTAGACTAGCCAGGCCCAGTTCCTGCAACCGTTCTTCGTATGTTTTAGCCTCCAGTCCCCTAACCATCCTGGTTGTTCTTCTCTGCACTTTTTCTAGAGTCTCAACATCCTTTTTAGAGTGTGGTAACCAAAACTGGATGTAGTAGTGTCTTAAGTTTGGTCTTACTAAGGCTTTCTAGAGTGGTATTAGGGCCTCGTGTGATCTTGATTGTATCCTTCTGTTCATGCAATTTAGGATTGCGTTGGATTTTTGCCCTACCCTCTCCAAATGGGGATCTGAGGACAGGTGTGTTGTCTGCAATGACTCAACTGTACAAAAAATATATAGAGAGAGGAAATATGATTCTGCAATCAGTCCATGATTCATTTCAGGTTTCTTTGTCCTCCTTTGCTCCTCTTGCAGATGTCTTCTGCAACTGCAGCTCCGTCGGAAGCACAAGTGTGGGTGAGTGCAATGCCACGGGTCACTGCCACTGCCGCCCAGGTTACGCGGGGCCCTCGTGCGACCGATGCGAAGACGGCTACCATCTCGGTCCATCTCACCGGCGCTGCCTTCCTTGCGAGTGTCATCCTGAGGACTCCGTCTCTTTGTCCTGCGACAAGTAAGGAGAACCCAGGGGTGGGCTTCCCATATTTGAGCAAGGAATTATTCTCTCTGCCCCGGTGGCTGGGTGGGCGTGGCCATGATGGGCGTGGCCTAGTCAGCCTCCTGCATCTC